TGATTACCCCACTGTGTGAAAAGAACTCTCGCTCGAAGAGTCGTCTGAGAACGCCTGCTGTCTTGAAAGCGTTCGATACCTGAGTGCTCAAACATGTTGGCATGAAATGCGAAGTTGGGAACAACAAGAGGAACATGGTACAAGCACGGTCTTAGAACAATAAGTATCGTTCTTTGAATACCTGGAAAAGATAGAGCTTTTTTGTTCGAAGAAAAACAACAACGAGAAAAAGTTTCAGAGAACTGACAAGTTTTGAACATGTTGTTTTAGTGCTTGCCTTTTTCTCTGCTGAACATTCCGGAGCACGATTTACTTCCATGCGTGCGAACAATAACATGACATGATGACTTTAACTGAAGACTTGCTCCGCTGCAGCAAGACCTCTCGACGGGCAGGAAGCCCGGGCTGGGAAACAGTAGATTTTATTTCGAAGCCCCACCCTCGCCGCCCTTTTTCTAATTTAACCTCTCCCTTTTTCAAGAAATTTTGGTAGCAGCTGACGGTGCTTGACAGCAGTCTTTGCTAAGGTACCTGTCAGGAGACAGCTGACGGTGTTTGCTGTGACAGTAGTCTTTGCTGAGGTACCTGTCAGGAGAGTTTGTCAGGTCTTTGAGGAGTGCTGCCGGTGACTGCCTTGGCACCTTTCTTCACCTTTGCTTCGATTGCAGGCGTCTCGCTTGCAGGCCGTTTGCTAAGGTACAGATTCTGAGCCGGCCACGGCTTGAGAGTGCTTTAGTTTCCCCGCCGGGGGACAAAAGAGTCTTGTGTTTCACAGGACTTCTGAGATCGGATCTGCCGTGTTCGGTACTGATTACCCCACTGTGTGAAAAGAACTCTCGCTCGAAGAGTTGTCTGAGAACGCCTGTTGTCTTGAAAGCGTTCGATACCTGAGTGCTCAAACATGTTGACATGAAAGACGAAGTTGGGAACAACAAGACGAACATGACACAAGCACGGTCTTAGAACAATAATCTGCCGGGAATCCCAAGGTGAGACCAATCGACAATTATAAAAGTTCGGAGGTGAACAGCGTGGTATCACAAACCGAACAGGTGCCTGTACACACGGTCGATGTCATCGCTGGAACTTTGGGCTATTGGCTTCAGGCTTGTGTCAAGGCCAAAGTGAAGAAGGAGATGGTCAGCAAAGCTTGGGATCTTAAGACAGCTTACAAACAGCTGCCGTTGAGTGATTCTGCTTTTGAACTTGACAGCTACATAGCCGTGTTCTGTCCACGGAGCAAGAAGCCACAGGTGTACAAGCAACGAGTCCTACCTTTTGGATCGAAGGCCAGCGTGACGGGATTCATCCGTTGTGCATATGGTTTGTGGAAGATCGGATGTGTCCTTCTAGCCTTGATCTGGAGCTGCTACTTTGACGATTTCCTTGCAAGCAGTTGGGAAGATGCAAGCAAGCACTTGGACATGATTGTTACAATGTTTTTCCGACTCTTTGGATGGAACGTGTCTTTGGACAAGCAGCTGGGCTTTGACAGCATGTGCAATGTGCTTGGAGTGACGCTTAGTCTTCGTGAAGCCAAGTTTGGTGTAGCATACTTTTCGAACACAGAGAAACGTGCTGCCGAGCTGCGGGCTGTCTTGACGGAATACGTGACAGGTGCCGCTTCGTTGCCCAAAGGTGCCGAGCTTGCAAAGCTTCTCGGCAGGCTTCAGTTCGCTTCAGGGCAGTTGTTCGGGAGGCGAGCACGACATGCGCTGGGCGCTCTCACTGAGGAGCCCAGGACGAGCCCGGAGCAGATGCGGCAATCGATGCAGGTGCTTCTGAGCTTGTTTGAGCATGGGCGGCCACGCCGGGTCGCTGCTACGTGGAGTTCAGTGGTCCATGTGTACGTGGACGCTTCGTTTGACTACGACGGCTACTCTGGGATCGGTGGCATGGCGTATGACTCGTCAGGCAACATCCTCGGTTGGTTCGGCAGTGAAGTTCCTAAGCACGTTCTTGATGCCATCTGCACATACGGAGGGACGGCTCACGAGACTGTCATTTTCGAGTTGGAGGCGATAGCAGTGCTACTTGCATTGCGTAGTTTCGCTTCTTTCTTAAAGGGTGCCAACATCGTAGTCTTCACTGATAATGAAGGCGTCCACGGTGCTTTCGTGCGGTGCAAGTCGGCCAGCGTCTATGGCCATCAGGTGATTACTTGTGCTTGTGACGTCGAAGAAAGTTTGGATTGTCTGGTATGGTACGAGCGAGTGCCATCGAGTTCAAATCCTTCGGATTGCCTTTCTCGAGGCGAGGAGCTCAAGTGCACTTCAAGTCGCGTGCAAGTGAGCATCGAGGATGTTCACAAGGAGGTCTGTGCTGCATGCCTCTAGTGGGGCGGGTCGCATGCAGTACTCAAGACCACAGGTTTGCGAATCCCCGTTGAAAACGAAGGAGACCGAGTGTTGCATCACATGTTTATCTCAATACGATTGGATTGACATTTTTATGGAAGTTTATAAGGCGTCCGTTT